CTGGCGCCGCGTGAGACGCCCGCCGTCACCTCCCTGCGCGCGCGTGAGGCATGCCGCCGCGCGGCTGTGCCGCGAGCCCAGCACAAGGCGCGAGCCCCCGCGGCCCCAGAGCCGCTCCCTGTGGCGGCGGAGGTGCCTCGCCACAGGACGCCGTCCCCCGCAGCCCTACGCCTGGCCGGGTGAAGCCAGAGAGAGCCCATAAGGCATTCCGCGTTCCTCTTCCAGCTGTCCGGGAAGGAGCATCTGCGCTGCTTCACCCCGTTTCCCAGCCGGCTTCAACGTGCCCCAAGCAGCACTTGCACCGCCCGCCCGCCGCCCTCGTCAGCGGCCTGCCGACGGTCGCCTTCTTCCTCCTCGCGTCCCCCCTTTCCCGGCCGCGGTGAGCGAGCAGGGGCCGGGGCCGGGCCAACGGCGAGCCCTGCCCGGCACGACTCGCCCCGGGACCTCTCCCTAGAGAGCTGAGAGGGTTTCTACCCATTGCGGTTGGACAACGGACGTGAATGGCTGTCTGCTTGCAACGTGGTTTTGAACCTGCCCAAAATGTACCAACCGACCCCGAATTTTTGACTCTCAATGAATTCCCTTCATGCTTCCCCCACACAGGATTCAGTTCTCTTTTTCTGGCTTTCTGGCCTGTTTCTTGCCAAAGCATTGGGAAGAAAGCCATACCAGCACCACACGTACCATAAGGAAGAACCATCATCTTGTAAAATACAGACTGATGCCCGTTATAAACGATTTGATAGCAAGATTTTAGAGATACTAAGGGAGAACACTGCAGTTGAATTAATTTAAGTACTGAAGTTAGGGAAGTGATTAGTCTTGAAAATTTGCGCTCTGGCACAGAATCAATCTGAAAAGCAAGAAGTAGAAATTTAAGAGTGGAACAGCATAAACAAGAAAAGAGGAAGGCGTTTCAAGGATATTGCTCAAGAACAATGACGAGCAATATGGGACACTAAGCAAGAAAAGGAGCACTGTGAGAAAGGCCTATAAAGATGCAACCTAACGGCAACAGAATATTCAGTTTCCTGTTAGACAGTTAAGATGTGGTCCCACGAAATCTCACTCAAAGTTAAAAGTTGTACTCAAAGCCCTCTACTCTCACCTCCCCTCCTTTTTTCTGTCAGTTATAGGTGCTCACAGTGTTCCACCAGGTCCGGAGCTAAGCCCCACAGTCTGCTTTTGAAGAAGCTCTTCCCTTCTCACTTTACCTGGCCCAGAGAAGAGGCTATCCACTGCAGAGAGGACCAATATCAACAGTTGTTTCTTACTCCTGATGCTCAGAACCATACCACAAAGAAAGAGTTCGTAACGAAACTCTTGCCTTGCTGTTCACTGGAAAGGATCATAGCCTTTTTTTTTTTTTGTAATTCACATGTGCCTACTCTCCAGCCTCCACCCCTGTTAATGCATGTGCCACCATCTTCTCACCCTCATCTGGAAGCATCACGTGCTGTTTGCTTTCCCCCTAACTGCCTCTCTCCTTTCCAGGCCCTTCCTATGACCCCCCCCCCCCCCCATGCACACACATATTTCTGTTTTCTTAACAGCTGATCTCAGGTGGGGGAAGGCAAACTGCGTGGTTGGTTGCCACATCCAGGGAAACACAACTGATAGGGAAATAACTTCTAAGGGAGACACCACACATCCCCTTCTCCCTCACAGTGGCAGTTTCTCCCACTAAGAATAAAGATTTACCACTTGTCTTTGTCTCTTAGAGCATGCCCTGCTTCTCATGACTTTTATTCCTTCTCCTCAGAACCTTCACTGTAACTCCATGTGCATCTTGAGAGCCGTTACTACTCTGAAACAGAAAGATACTCAGCAGGCCTCAACATTTACAGCATATACAGACACTCTTCAGTTTATAGGACAGCCTGAGACGTTACTTCAGATAGCCTACAGCTGTATGTCTTTTACTGGAAAGCACCAACACGTATGATTGCATAGCTTGCTAATAGTGCTTGAAAGAGCCATCAGATTGTTGGGCAAGAAACAAGCTCCTCACCCTGAGAAAAACTGACACCTTAATTAATATATCCTAATAATAAATATAAATAATATTTTGTCTTTGTATTAAGATGTCATCTAGATAAGCCTTCAAGCCCCAAGACCTATGGTAATTAGACCAACACATAGGGAGTTCTGGGAATAAGCAACATGTATTTGTATCTGGAATCAGCAATCATCCTTCTGAGGTCAGTAATAAGATAACAGCAAATTCAAATTAACAGTCTAGTGTCAGATAGAAAAATTACTTCTGAGGGCCATTCTCTCCTGGGTTTTTCTAATTGGTATGCAGTACTTGGTATTACTTATTCTAGAAGTACTGAATAAATACTGCTCTTAGGATTTTGTGAGCTCAGAGCAACAAAAAAATAGACCAGCCCTGCAAAAATATACTCCTCCACACACCTGGGGAAAATAAAAATTTCAATTATTTTTTTCATCATCATTGCTGTAGATGTTGAAGAAGTGGATTTTTGCACTGGGCAATTTTTCATGACAACAGCGTAAGGCTGATTTAAAGTGCCAAGAGTCAGGTCACATCTACTCCATTTAAAACCAAGTAGTTTTAAAAGGAACATAAAAATCACTCAGTACGCTGACTCATCCATTATGGCAATTTAAATATTTACAGTGCTGATACTTATCTTCAGTGTAAGCCAAAGTGGATTCCATCAAAGCTGGATTTATTGCAATCTGGTTTCTATTTACTCTTGTGCAATGAATTCGATTTGCAATTAGCTTTTTCTAAATCTGTCACTGGATTAGTTTAAACAGCAATTCAGATCCAATTTCTGTAGATCATAATGAGAATCAAAATTTGATCTTTGTAAGAGTACTACGTCAAAGGACTTCCATAAAAGTATGTTTCATTTACAGTTTTCATTAGAAGCAAGAATGTATAGGTAAGTTATTGAAATAAACAGACATTCATACACACAGCTACTAAAATGAGTGAGGAGCTTAAGAGGTCAAAGCTTTCTGGTACCACCTGGTCTAACACCAGGATCTCAATGAATCATATCCATATCACAAAGGAAAGGACAGCAATCTGAACCCTTACTGAGACCCCAGAAACAGAGGACTGCCATGTAACCTGATTCTTCTTTCTGAGCATTTAGATTCGAGCTACTTATATGGCAGATCAAGACCACACACACATTTTGTTCCCGCTTTACCACTATATGGGACTTAACTCCTGTATCTGTCACCCATTATTTCTTACCATCTCTGCAGACCTGGAAAGCCACTGAAGAGTACTTTAATTACTGACTGGCCCAACTGATCCATGCACCACTAGCGTATCCCTGCTGCCTAACTGAATCTCAGCAGACAGGAACTAATAGCCACGATCTAATCCTTTCTGCCAATACCAGGGCATGGCACAGCGCAAGCATCCTAGTAGCATGACCTAGGGGCAACAGATCAGTCTGCACGTAACGCCATTCTTTTTACTTTTGCCACCTTAATTCCTACCAAAAAGTATATTACAGGAAGCTGAGATTAGCCCTATTTTCTTAAACATGACAAACATCTTGTCATTGTTACTTATTTGCTGTAACACAAGGGCTCAAAAGACCTATAGTGTTTACCAATAAATAAATTATATTCAATTATATTACTAGATTATATAATACCCTCTGACAAACGATACTTCAATTAATCCATTCCCAACAAATATAAGTAATGTTCTGCCTGCATGTTAAGACCAAAAGGAGCACATGCAGCATTACCTGCCCAAAAGCAAACGCATTAACCCAGACTCTGCTGGTGCTGGGGCATCTGCCAAAGGATGGCTGTGATCATCATCTAGCTTTCATTCCTGAAACTCTGAGAGTGGAAATTCCCCCTCCGTGGCATACCAGAGCCTGCAGGACACCTCCCTAGACTGGCAGGGCACAGCAGAACTCCTGCACGGGTGGAGACAGTGACAGTCTGAGTCACAGAGGCATGAGTGAGGAAGGGGCCCACACAGATACTGATATATCCTGTGATGCCTTTTCAAAGGCAAAGTCCTCCAGGAAAATCAGACTGTGTGGGGAGCTGAGAGGTTACTAAAGATAAATAAATCTTTGGCATCATGGAGATTCTCCCACCCTCCAAGCCATTGCCCAGAAACTTTAATAGTATGGCAATATTTCACAGTGCATTCTTTGATGCCAATATTCTAAAATATTTAAATGGTGCAATTACTTTTGAAAATCAATATTCCCTTCTCCTCTCGCCTCCAAAAAGCCCTGTGACTAAGGTACAGTTTTGGCCAGTCTTCCTTATTTGCTCGGATGCTTTCAGAGACCTCCTTCTGTGTTAAAAGCCAGATCCAAAAACGGACTTCTGCAGAATGTACAGTCCAAGCCCAGACATCCAGAACCCTCCCTTCATTGCCATTTAATTTAACCTTGAAGAGATGAATGTACTTTTAAAAAACCACATGAAACCTGTCAACAATTTATGAGCTGTAAGCATTTAAATAACAAAGGATAAAGGTCGAACTAACAGAGCACAACAAGACTTTTACTTCCACTTTGTCGTTAACATGTTTTTGTTATGCCTGTTTTACCTTTTGAAGAGATAACAGACTGTAAAAGTGATTATGCTAAAGTGAAGTGTCAATTTTGATTTAAGCAGAAGTAAAATGAGCTGCAAGAGGATAACTGAATTTATTTATTCCTTAACAATATTAACAAATACATCAATTAAGCACCTGCAAATGCACATCAGACAACCGAATTCTTTTTAACTGGTGTAAGAGTGGACAGCTGGATTTTACATTTTCAGTGTACCTGAAATTTCTCTAGTGCTACAAGTTTAATTAATAAAGTGCATTCAAAATCTTGATGAGACAGATGAATTAGTATTAGCTTATTTCAGTGTAAGGTTTAACCACTTAAATAGAGAAGACTTCCACCCAAAGCTTTTAACTTTTTCTTCTTCATTTTCCTTTGTGTCTGAATTAGAAGCATCTCTGTTTTCCATCAAAGCTTCATAAGTCTTTTGTGCTCGAACAATTTCTTTGTCTGCACTGAAGTGCACCATTTGTCTGCTCAGAATAGGAACAACTAAATTGAAGTTGTCAATTCTTTTGTTTAATTTCCTGATATCTTCTATAAATTGCTCACAGATATGATTCCATTGCTTTTGCCTATATGGTGTCATTGGCCCTCCAAGCTTACTTCTAGATGCCACTATATTCTTCCTTAACCGCTCAATAGTTTCCCGTATTTCTTTCTGCATCAGGATCCACTCTGGCTGGTATCCATTGTCTATTAGAATCCTGTTCAAGTTGTGAGTCATAGGGTCGATATGTGGACAGTCTGAAAATTTCTGCAAAGGTTTTCCTTTGCCACTGAGGTTGTCAAAGTCTCCTTTTGCCATCGATTCCTGGATGAGGTCCTCAACCAACCGCTCAACTGCCTGAGTTATTTTCACCTTCTTGCTCTGCCTTACATCTTTGGCTTTCATTAGGTCAGTCGCAGCATACTGGCTTTCAAGTCTTTGCTTCCGGTACTCCAACACTTGCTCGGTAGCACGGTCTACTCGAAATTGCATGTATTGCTTTTCTCTTTGGCTTGGTGTTCCAAAACCAACGCCTTCAAAACTCAAGTAGTGTCTATGCTGTGGTGCTTTTGATTTGAACTGATCTTCCTCCTCTTCATTACTCTCACTTGATTTCTTTTTTGTCGCCACATCACTGAGCACAACTCTGTATGCTTCTTCTACTTTCATAAATGCTTCAGAATCAGCTGTGGCAGAACCGCTGTCTGGATGGTATTTTTTGGCAAGACTTCGATATGAGTTTCTGATATCATCAAGGGAACATCCTTCCTCAAGCTCAAGAATTTTGTAAGAGTCCTTGATGTTGCTTTTAGGTTTGTAACCCGACAACATTCTGTTGCCAGAAATGTAGGGAAACGGTTTCAGGTTTCTTGGAATCATTGCTTGACGTACCATGAAATGATGCCCTATGTTGTTAGTCAGCATGACACAAAGCCACTTTGTACTTCTTCAGATGCAGCTACATTATAAACAATGGCCTATAAACACATTTTCATAAAAATTGTGTTAAATATGCTTTTTAAAAGAAGTCACATAAGTCTTATCTTTAACTTGTTGTATTATTTAAAGAAATCCCTGCAAGATTTCAGAACAGTATGCAATGTTCTTTTGTTTTACAGGCAAATATTGAAATCTGCATTTCTTATTAATTACTATTGAAGTAGTAGTATTACTATGTAAATGAAAATCAATTCACAATATAGTTTTCTCCTGGTACAGCAACAGTACCATCCATTTGTTTTGCAGTTCAGAATTCCCCAAAGGCCAAAGGTTTATTGCCTTTCTGCAAGCTCAGTGCAATGTAAACTGGAAATAGGCTTTATGTTGAGTGGTAACTCTCCTGAAACAACTCTCTCCCTTTTCCTCTACACACCCACATTCAGCCATCAACTGAATTTTCTATTCACATACATCAGTGCCTCAAGATCTACTACCTGGTACATTCTCAAAGGATTTCATTACAGTACCCTTTTGGTATTTCACAGCAACCAACGCAGCATTCAGACTATAGATTCATTTAGATTAACTCTTTGTTTCCCAGCAGGGCTCCCACATTCTAGTGACCAATCTCCTTTGTTTGTGCAAGGTAAGGTTATAAAACTGGAACTCAGAACAGATCAATACCAGACAGTGTCTCATTCTGTCAGGAATACCAGTGATTCTGAATTATTCTGGGAAACAGCAAAAGGAACACCTTTAGCAAATGGCAACATAAGTAAGTCTTCACGTAAAATCAAAAGTTGAAAACTATCATACGAGCTGCACACACAATTTACACATCAGCTAACTTCTCTTTATTAATGAAAATCCTAAGACAAAGGCTGCATACATGGCGCTAAAGAGTGTCCTTTCACAGATTCATCAGTGACTGCAGCATATCCTTTGCTGACTTCCTTTCCAAACAAAAAAAACTAGGTTAAATCAAGGTTAAGGATTAAATAGTGTTTATACGTTCTGCATGTAACACGCTGCCCTTCTGCACTAACCCATCTGAAAAGAGAAGGGGGAAGGACATGTACTTGGGATTGGATGAACGATTGGATCAACCCTGAATGTTTTCAGTTTATTTTGATCCAGGTAACTTATTAAGTCATCAGCTTGTGGTTATTATAATGCACCTTATTAACATGTTTTTTTTTTTCCATTTATGATATACATCATGATTTCTTTCCTTCTAGGTGGCTGGCAAAGATAATAATTTACTTCTGTATGGCCATAAAAAACCCACATAACTACTATTTAAATGGAAAGATCAGTGAATACACTTTTGAAATTCAACATACTGATCAGAAGCAGCAGACTTTAACTCTGCAGACTTGAATTTAATAGACTGGTGCTTAAAAAACCGTATCAAACTTTATGTACGGCACTCACGCCACGGGACCGAAGGGCGCCGGGGGATTTTTATTCCCCAGCCGTTTGAATTCAGCTCTCCCCGGCGGGGCGAGGTAAGGGGGGGGGACGACGGGACGGGACAAGACCGAGCCCCCCC